ATGTAACTTTGGTTTATTTTTTTAAGCATTATTAAGGGGGACCAAACAATCAAACTTTCAAGCAAGCAAACAATTCTCTGTACTGGTGTCTCTCCCTCCCGACACCGTGTTGTTTTTCTATAATAGCTTTCATTCAATGCAATCAAGCTTTCTTTCATTCTCAATTCTCTTTTCTGCTCTCTCTTTTAATTGATCACGACATTGGTTTTTCCGTACGGCACTGACAATCTAGTCTAGCGTACGGAGGGGACCTCAGTTGACGGACATCAATCGCACTGACATCGGTTGCTTAGTTTTACGTCGCCCTTCCAAGGAACTTCAGGAAAGCGCCGCGTAACAGTTGGTATCAAAGCCTAGGCTCAACATCGAACGAGGGATTATATTGCAATTATCACCATTTCTGACCATGGTGAATTATGGGGATCACATCGCGACCCTTGAGGGAACAGTTGACGTATTACGACCCATCGTGGAAATGGTGCATGACCTAAAGACCAGCCTAGTGCAAAGGTTGGACGACCTGGACCGCAGACTGATCCAGGCCGAAGTTGACATAGAAAACATCAGTCGCGACTCTGAAGGAGACCGGCAAACGATAGCCACTGAGGCAGCCAAAATTTTTGGTAAATTTGAGGTCCTCCAACAGGAGCGCGTCGAGGATTTAGCCAACAGGGCACAAGAGGAAGACAGGGTGACTGCCATGCAACAAACTATAGACAACTTGACAGGCCAGCTCAACGTTGTCAATGCTGCTTTACAAGGCCTGCTTCGAGGTGGTGGAAACCAAATTGGGGGTATTGTGAACCTCGCCCCTGTGGCCCAAAAACTAAAAATTCCTGAGCCAAAGCCATACAGTGGAGCTCAGAATGCCAAAGAAGTGGAAAACTTCATCTTCGACATTAAATAATACTTCAATGCCGTGGGGGACCTAGAAGAAGCTAAGAAGGTAGCAACTGCTGCCATGTATCTTCAGGGTGATGCCAAACTCTGGTGGCGGGTGAAATACAAAGCCATCATGGCTGGTGAAGATGACCTCGAGTCATGGGCAGAACTGAAGGCAACCATACGCCTACAGTTCTTCCCCAAAAATGTTGAGTACAATGCTAGGAGAAAGCTACGGGAGCTCCGCCAGACCAAATCAGTTTCCTAGAAGGGTTGAACCTTATGCCCACATGGATTTACAAAGATAAAGGGTAGACACATTACCTAAAGCAATCCAAGCAGCAGAGTGCCTTGGGGATTATCAAGTGGAAGCCCGGAAGGACATGCCTCAACATCCTGTTCGAAGAGGATACAAAGGAGGCCAGCCAAACACTGGTGGCCCTAGCAGAAGTGGAGGAGATCGGAGTGCAACCAAATCTAAGGCTCCCTCCTCAAGCAGTACTAGCGCTGCATCTAACAACAATGATCGGGGGGAGGAAACCCCCCTCAGGATGCCGTCATTACGGCGGACCACATTGGAATAATGAATACCCACATGTACAGATGAATGCCCATCAAGCTTTTGAGGATGGGACGGATGACGATGCCGATGATGCGGACTAGACCGAACCAGTTGGTGCATTCAATGCCATTGTTGGCTCTATTCCTGAGCCCCCAGCGGGAACCAGTGCTGGTATCCGTAAGAAGAAGGACCCCTGTCCAATCGCCAAGAAAGTGAAAAAGAAGGCGAACAAGAGGACTTCTCCTCATCAAGAGAGGACCTTAATGTTCGTTGACATGAAGGTAAATGGCAAGCCCATTCGGAAGATGATAGACACGGGTGCTACCCACAACTACTTAGCCTCGACTCAGGTAGAGCGCCTTGGCCTAGTTGTAGGAAATGGCAAAGTTCGTGTCAAGGCTATCAACTCACCACCTCAGCCAGTGGGTGGAATAGCCAAAGAAGTACCGGTGATACTTGGCCCTTATGAAGGAAAGTTCAACCTGCGCGTGGTGATTATAGATGACTTCGAGTTGATAGTGGGGTTGGAATTCCTGAGACAGACCAATACCATGCCTGCACCGTATGCAGACTTGCTACTGATGATGGGAGACAATGGAGCTAAGCCCTGCATTATTCCGTGCATTCCCATGAAGATGACCGCCGAGAACATCTTGGCCTTGCAATTGAAGAAGGGGGTAAAAAGACATGAACTCGCGTTCCTAGCTACCCTCTGCATGGAAGATATAGAACGCTCCTCGGGTCCCATTCCTGCACCCGTGAAGGAGTTGCTTCTGGAATTTGAAGATATCATGCCACAAGACATGCCAAAGCGTCTTCTGCCTAGGCGAACTGTGGACCATGAGATTGAGTTGGCGCCGGGTGCGAAGCCACCTGCTCGGGCACTGTACAGAATGTCACAACCCGAACTCATCGAGCTTCGGAGATAATTGGCGGAAATGCTAGACACAGGGATCATCGTGCCCTCCAAGTCCCCACACGGGTCCCCTGTGCTATTCCAAAAGAAACATGATGGTAGTTTACGACTCTGCGTGGATTACCGGGCTCTAAACAAAATCACCATGAAAAACAAGTACCCTATTCCGCTAATGGCAGACTTGTTTGATAGACTGGGTGGTGTGACGGTATTCACCAAAATAGACCTAAGGACAGGTTATTGGCAAGTTCAGATTGCAGAGGGTGATGAGCACAAGACAACCTGTGTGATAAGATATGGGTCGTACGACTTCCTGGTTATGCCCTTTGGCTTGACTAATGCGCCAGCCACATTTTGTACCTTGATAAACCAAGTCTTCCGAGAATACATTGATGAATTCGTCGTGGTTTACTTGGATGACATTGTGGTATATAGCCAGACACTGGAAGAACACCTGGAGCATTTGCGGAAGGTCCTAGCCCGATTGCGGGAGCACAAATTATATGCGAAGCTATCCAAGTGCTCCTTTGCTCAGAAACAAATTGACTTCCTCGGACATGTCATCGAGGAAGGGCGGAACAAGATGGACCAGCAGAAGATTCAGGCCATCACAGAATGGCCACCTTCTAAGGATATCCACGCCTTGAGGTCGTTCCTTGGCCTATGCAACTTCTATCAACGTTTTGTGAAAAGTTACTCCCTCATTGCAGTGCCACTGACAGAACTTCTCAAGAAGGTCACACCGTGGGATTGGGGCCCCAAACGGGCAGAGGCCTTCGACGCATTGAAAATGGCTATGTCTAGTAGCCTTGTCTTGGCCTTCCCTGACTTGGCCAAGCTATTCGAAGTGCAAACGGATGCCTCCGACTATGCACTTGGTGGAGTATTGCTACAAGAAGGGCATCCCGTAGCATACGAGAGCCGGAAACTGAAGGATGCAGAGCGGCGCTATGCTGCCCATTAAAAAGAATTATTGGCTGTAGTTCATTGCTTGCACCTTTGGAGGCATTATCTACTGGGAGCCCCATTCGTGGTCAAGACAGACAACACAGTCGTTAGCCATTTCATGAACTAGTCAAAGCTGAATGGTCGACAGGCTTAGTGGCAGGAACTCCTAGTGGAATTTCACTTCAACCTGGAGTATCGAAGTGGGAAGACCAATCATGTTGCTGATGCACTCAGTCGGAGAGCTGATCTAGCATCAGTGTGTGTACTCGCCGCCCTAAAGGGAAGCAAAGTAACCACTACCATAAAAGACCAGATACAGGATCTACTCATCAAGGATCCTGCTGCACAGTATTTGGTTGATTTGGTAGGACAGGGCAAGACTCGCCAGTTCTACACCGAAGATGGGTTCCTGAAGGTGAAAGGGAACCGACTTTATGTTCCTAAAGGAGGAGATCTGCGACGGACTCTTCTTGCAGAATGCCACGATACTTTGTGGGCCGGTCATCCCGGCGAGGAACGCACCATGGCATTGCTTCGCCGTGCATATTATTGGCCTCAAATGGTCGATGACATCGCTCAGTATGTGAAGACTTGTCTAGTATGCCAGAAGGATAAGTCAGACCGCTTGATGCAGGCAGGGTTCTTGGAACCACTAGCTGTCCCAAAAAGACCTTGGGAAAGCGTTTCCCTGGACTTCATCACCGGATTGCCCAAGGTCGGAGATCTCACAACTATCTTGGTTGTGGTGGATCGGTTTTCCAAGTATGCTACCTTTATAGCAGCCCCACAATATATATCAGCAGAAGATACAGCTCGACTATTCTTCTCCCATGTCGTCAAGTATTGGGGCTTACCTAAAGACATTGTTAGTGATCGCGACTCACGCTTCACTAGCAATTTTTGGACCCAACTCTTTAAGTGTCTCGGGTCAAAATTAAGTCATAGCTCAAGTTTTCATCCGCAATCTGATGGCTAGACGGAGCGATTCAATGGCATGCTAGAGGAATATCTCTGGCACTTTGTGACCAGATAGCAGAAGAACTGGGTGAAGCTTCTGGATGCTGCTTAACTGTGTTTTAATTTACAAAAGAGCTCAAGTACTAACAAAAGCGCTTTTGAAATTATTATCGGACATCAACCGCTACTCCCACACACAGTGAACACACCCAACATGTCAAAATCTCCTCGGGCTGCTAGCTTCTCAAAAGAATGGAAGCAAAATTTGGAGATAGTGCGGAGCTATCTTTTCAAAGACCAAAAGCGGATGAAGAGGCATGGTGATCAGAATCGCCGCTTTGTTGATTACCAAGTGGGAGACAAAGTGATGGTCAAAATTCCAAAGCGGTACTTGTTTGCAGGGGTCCATGACACTCGCCTATTGCAAAAATATATTGGACCCTTGTCCATCGAAATGCGCATTAGGAAAGTTGCATACCGGGTGGATACCCCAGCTTGGTGAAATATCCATCCTGTTTTCCATGTCAGTCTCCTGAAACCTTTTCGGGAAGATATGGAGGATCCTTCACGAAGCCAACTCACAATACCAAGTATTCGAGGTCCCAATTCAACCGGGAAAAGGCGTGCTAAAGTTATTCTTGATGATCGAGTGATTCACGCCTCAAGAAAAAATCACCAGGAGTTCTTGGTAAAATGGCAGGGATATGATGCAGAGGAGAATACTTGGGAGAGGGGAACAAACCTCAAAGCCTACAAGAGACTGATTCATGATTACCTTGCAAGGAAGGCGCCGAGGACGTCACCAACTCAGGTGGGGGAGAATGTCATGGGCGGCTTTCCAACCATGCCCCATGACTCCTTGGACGCGCCACGTGGCGTCCTGGCCAGCTTCCCAACTCCCATCGCCACGGTCGGCCCCGTGGTCTCGGCAGCTCCAAGTGACAAGCGCGCATGTGCCTCTGTCACCCCACTGATAGCCATCGCCAGCGCCCAGCCACAGGCAGATGCCAACAGCACCGCGTGCGCAGACCCTGATGCTAAAGACAAAGTTGCTACCAACAGACTTGTTTCTGCTTTGTAGAAGACTAAGTCCTTTTCATTGTAAATATAGAGTAGTTTTACTGCATTTTCTTTAAGTGTAATTTTTCAGCTTTCATAGCTCTAGTGATGTAACTTTGGTTTATTTTTTTTAAGCATTATTAAGGGGGACCAAACTATCAAACTTTCAAGAAAGCAAACAATTCTCTGTACTAGTGTCTCTCCCCCCGACACCGTGTTATTTTTTTGTAATAGCTTTTATTCAATACAATCAAGCTTTCTTTCATTCTCAATTCTCTTTTCTGCTCTCTCTTTCAATTGATCACGACATTGGTTTTTCCGTACGGCACTGACAATCTAGTCTAGCATACGGAGGAGACCTCAGTTGGCGGACAACAATCGCACTAGCATCGGTTGCTTAGCCTTACGTCGCCCTTCCAAGGAACTTCAGGAAGGTGCCGCGTAACAGTCTTTACGTAGTTAGATTCATGTTATTATGCGGGTAGACTTAGGTTTACACCATGATGTACTTGTACTATAGGGATTTTCCTTGCTTGTTTAATTCCTTATTTTACGTTTCTACTTGAGACTAGACTTGCTATTATAGAGACTTCACGATTAGTCATCGAATAACTTTACTCCTCCTACGACATGTTTCCGTGATATATATATAGACTTCATTTAAAAGGTTTTTGTTAAAGAAATTACAACTCACACGTTTATTCGTGAGTGGGGTCAAGGACCCGTCAAAGCTTCTTATTATAATGGGATCAGGCCGTTCGCCTCGGCAGGATTATATATTTCACTCTTATGGGATCGGGTCGATCGTCTCGGTAGGATTTATGTACCACACTCTCATGGGAGTGGGCCGTTCGCCTCGAAAGTTTAATAAATGCATCTATGGTTCGTGTCGTTCGACCTTCGACAGTGCACAATTTAAATATTTATGTTGGATCGGGACGTACGCCTCGGTATTTCCTATATCATATCCTCATGGAATCGTGCGTAATATTTGGCAAGAAGCCGGGGTATCTATAAATTTCTCCTGATTCGAATTATAACAACCTGCTCGGTGAGATCCAGTATACATATATATATATATATATATATATATATATATATATATGCTATGGTTGAGGAGGAATTTGCTAGTTAAGAGCTTGAGTTGATTGTAAGGAGGATAATTGTACCACATATTTATACTTGTTTATTTCATTTATTTACTTTGCCTCGTATTTTCTCACCTCCTTACTGTACTTGATATTATTGGACCACTAGTGAGTGTCGATGTTGACCCCTCGTCACTACTTCTCCGAGTTTAGGTTAGATACTTACTGGGTACACGTTGATTACGTACTCATACTATATTTGCTGTACATTTTTATGCAGGTACATATGTGACTAGTGGCCTTGTGAGAGTATACGCGCGCATGCATCCAGGGACTTACGTGAGTTGCATTCCATATTACGACCCGCAACCAGTAGAGTTTTCTTCAGAGTTATTTGTATTTTTCCTGTCTATCATGCGCATGAATATCTCTGAATCTTTTTCTCCGTGCGTATGTGTGTGTAACGGTCTGTGTATATGGCACTTAGGGTGTTTTTTTAATATGCAGCAAACATTTTTCACGAAACCAACTTGTTTTTTTATTCAGGAAAGAAAAATGGATTTTAGAGGGCGTTCGAAGTTGCAATATCTTTATGTGTTTATTCTCTTTGTAAACTAAAATCTCTAAAACAAAATCACAACTTCTTATTTTTTTCGTCTTGCTTGGATATGAATATGAAAATTCACGAATCGTTTATTTGCGATTTCCGTACGTTTACAACCTTTCTCTTTTGAGCAGCAGTTTAGTCAAAAAGCACTAGGATTTTTCACCCTTTTATCGTTGCTTGCATTGTCTGGTTATGGATGAATATTACATGAATATACAAATATTGGCGTATAGGGAGAGCATGATAACAACACGATAGGGGATTCAAAAATTACTAAAGAAAAACAAAAAAATCAAGAAACGTGCGGAAGCTAAAAACAATAGGGAAACGAACAAGAAGACAGAAATTAAAATGGCTCTTGAGCAAAAAAACAAATATATAGAAAAAACCCAAAAAAAAAAAAAAACGAAAATCAGCCCAAAAAAGTGTTATTGCTCCTTATTATTTTGAGATTGAAGTATATAATTTGGTTTCCAAGTAAAAAAAGAAACAAGAAGAGAGGATCCTAGTTCTTGAAGATTAATGTAACTTCTTTCCTTATTCTTGTGGATTTTAGGTTTCTTAAATTCTTTCCTTTTTTTCTTCTTCTTAATAACCAATTTCTATTCTTCCTAGGTTTGATCCTTCACTTTCCTTTTTCTTTTGTCTAACTCCACATTTTTATCGCTAAGGTTGTGACTAGTAAGGTTTATTAATAAATCTAAAGATTAACGACCAAGAGTTGCTTTGAGTGAAAAAAGAAAAGAGAGGTGAGAGCATTATAGGAAAAAAAAGCCAAATTTCTTTATAACAACACGATAGGAGATTCAAGAATCACTAAAGAAAAATAAGAAAATTAAGAAACGTGCGGAAGCTAAATGAAAATAGATAAACAAAAAAGAAGATAAAATTTAAAGATAGATTGAATTCAAGTTTCATTTAAATTTGGTTCTTTCCCTCTAATGTTCTCACCTATCTTGCCTTTTTCCACTCAAAGCAACTCTTGGTCGTTAATCTTTAGATTTATTAATAAACCTTACTAGTAACAACCTTAGTTATAAGATTGTGGAGTTAGACAAAAAGAAAAGGAAAGTAAGGTACCAAACCTACGGAGAATAGGAATTGGTTATTAAGAAAACAAAAGGAAAGGATTTAAGAAACATGAAACCTACAAGAATAAGGAAAGAAGTTACCTTAATCTTCAAGAACTAGGATCCCCTCTTCTTGTTTCTTTCTTGACTTGGAAACCAACTTATACTTGAATCTGAAAATAATAATGAGCAATAACACTTATTTGGGTTGATTTTCGTTTTTTATTTTTGTTTT